TCATACATGCAAGGCAAGTGCTTTACCCATGAGCCACACCCCCAGACACAAAATATTTGGTTTGGTGAGCTTCCTTCTCTCCTTCCTTCCCTTCCTTCCTTCCTTCCTGCCTGCCTTCCTTCCTTCCTTCCTTCCTTCCTTCCTTCCTTCCTTCCTTCCTTCCCTCCCTCCCTCCCATAGTAAGCCAATAACATCTTAATTAAAAGTTAAAACAAGGGCAGGGTGATAACTCAAAGGACTGAAATATATGCTTTGCATGCAGGAGAGCCAGGTTCAATTCCTAGAACTTCAAGAAATCCCAAGCACCACCAGGAATGATCCCAAGGACTACCAGGTGTTGTCAACCACTACCATAACTCCAGTAATAATATAAAATAAATAAAAAACTTCCACTTCCTATTAGGATGTTCCAGATTGCAAAACATGAATCATATTTTTATTCCAACAAAAAAGCTGGAGAAGCTAGAGAAGTCATAGATCTCCAGATGCATACCAGAGAGTTGAGGAGAGCAAGAAAACTAAATGAATTAAAATCCAGAAAATAATAAGCTATTTCACGCAAAAAGACACAAATAGGAGCATAAGAAGAGGCGGAAGACTCTTGTGGAGAGGTAAAGAGAAATGGGCCCAACTTAAATTTTTAAAAAAATTTTTTAAAAGTTGTTCACAATCACTTGTTACATTTAATATTCCAACACCAATCACACCACCATTACACCTACCCACTATCGTATTTCAAATGTTTCCACCCCAAACCCCAAACCCTGACCCCAGAGCAGGACCTAAAGAATTTATATTTTGTATTGCTTGTTATGAATAATCCGCTTAAACTGATCCAAAAAAGTTTTCTTATAGGAAAGTGTGTGAAGATTGCTGTATCTCACCCTGGAGCCAGTAAGCCCTTGGATAAGAGATTAGCAACATATAAAATGTTTTCACAGCCATATCTGTGGCCCTGCACTCCAGGAATTCTAAAATTCTAAATATGATTATACAGCTGAGGTTAATTTTTTAAAAAAACTGGATGGTGACTTTGGTGTTCAGAGGCATTTCTGTGGCGTATCATTCTATGTTGCACTCTTCCGGGACCTTTGTTGAGTCTCCGGATCGAGGCTATTAATGAGCTTAGATGGCTCCAGAGGTAGTTCCTGGATGTGACTGCCAGGCTACTGGAAACAAAGGGAGATGGGGGAAAGTCCTGGAGATTTCAGTCACAAGTTCCACGTACCTGGTTTTTCAGCAGATTCACTCATGAATGAGGCTGTCCGAGTCTTGGAGAGCAGCCTTGAGCTTGGCAGCCTTTGAATTCTGGAGGTTTTTGGCTGACAGGGCTCAATTGGATTCAGGAGGGGAACTCACTCGCCCCTCTCCAGGTTGCCTCAGATGAGACAGACTGATGCGGGGTCAAAAATCATCCCAACTTTTTTTTTTTAATTTTTATTAGTGAGACACCATGAGGTACAGTTGTAGACTTACAAATTTTTGTGCTTGGGTTTCAATTATACAATGATCAAATACCCATCCCTCCACAGTGCCCATTTCCCACCACCACGGATCCCAGTATTCCTCCCACCCCCCTCCATACCCCCCATTCCACCCTGACTCTGTGGCAGGGCATTCCCTTTTGTTCTCTCTCTCCTATTGAAAATCACCCCAACTTTGATTCGCTTGTTGCCTTGTCACTTGAGTGAGAGTTTGTTCTCCTGGGGGGTTTTAGCCACAGAGTGTCCAGCTGGTGCAAGTGGCTGGTCAGAAGTGGTCACTGCACCAGTCTGCATGGCATGTTCTTTGTGTTTCAAGGCTCACTCCTATTGTAAAACACATAAACATTTTTTTTGCTGAGTAATTTTCCATTGCATGGCCATTCTATGTTTTGTTTGTGCAATAATCAGTTGATGGACTTTAAAAAAAATTTTACCTGTTTACTTATTTGTTTTAGTGGGAGCATTCACACCTAGTGATGCACAGGGGTTACTCCTGGCTCTGCACTCAGGAATTATTCCTGGCGGTTCTCAGGGGACCATATGGGATGCAGGGGATCAAACCCGGGTCAGCTGCCTGCAAAGCAAATGCCCAAACTGCTGTACTATTGCTTCTGCCCAAGTTGATGGACTTTTGAATTGTTTTCACTTTTTTTTTGGCTCTTTCGAATAACGATAGACTAATTTTTATATGATCAGCTGTTTTAATTTCTCATGATTGAAATTGTTGGTGCATATGGTAACTATATTTAACCATTGAGTAGCTGCCAAGCTGTTTTCCAAAATGATTACACCATTTTATATTCCCACCAGCAGTGTATGAGCATTACAATGTTTTTATACTCGCATCATTACTTGTTATTATTTTTGTATTTGACTTTAGCCATCCTTGAGGCTTGCAAATATCTCATTATGGTTCTGATTTGCTCTTCTCTAATGACTAAAGCTATTGAAGTTGTTTTTATAGCTTATTGACCATTTGCTTATATCTTAATGCAAAAATGTCTGTTTAAATCCTTTGCCCATGTTTAAGCTGTTTTGTCATTTTTCCTGTTAAATTGTGAGAATTCTTTACATATTCAGGTACATTCTCTTCCCAGATGTGTGATTTTCAGCTAACATCTCTTATTGTGTGGATTTTCTTTTGACTTTGTTGGTGATGCTCTTTGTAACACAAAGATTTTTAATTTTGTTGAAGACCAGTTTGTTGTTTCTTAGGTTGCTTGTACTTTTGGGGTAATATCTAATAAATTGTTGTTATCCAGCACCACCAAGATGATGCTTGTATTTTTTAAAGGGTATAGTTGTGTTTTGGGGGGATGGTCTGGAGGAGGGGTTTGGTAATAACCAGCAGTACTCAGGGGCTACTCCCAGCTCTGTGCTCAGATGTTACATCCAGTAGTGCTTTGAGGACCTTGTGGTGCTGATCATCAAAGCTGAGTCTTCAGTATGCAGAGCATGAGTTCAGCTCATTGAGCTGTCAGCAGCCCTTTGGAGGGCTAGGAAGGGTATATATCATTTCAGATCTTATATTTATTGAGGACTTTGGTATGAGAAAGAATCTGACTTTGTTTTTGCTTGACCTAGCACAATTTGTTGAACAAAAAGATAGAACCTGTTCTTTTCCACTGGATTATTTTAGTGCTGGGGAATGTAGCTCAGCAATACTTAGTAATATAGAGTACTTACTTATGAGCTCTGTGTTTGGTTCCTGGCACTGACTAAAACAAAATATTCAAAAACAACAGCAATGAATCAGCCTCAACTCCCTGCTCCCCACCAAACAATTGCTGGGCCAGGGATGTTGCTCAAGTGGTAGAGCATGTGGAGGCCCTGGGTTTCACCGAGGCCCCTCTCCACCTCCAAGCCCTTCGAGATATGGCACCCACAACAAATAAAAAAACTCAGCTGCCTAGAAATGTAAGAATTTATATCTTTTTTGTTTTAGGGTTACACCCAGCAGTGCTGAGGGCTTCCTATTGGCTCTGTGCTCAGGGACCATTCCTTGCGAGGCTTGGGAGACCATATGGGGCGTCAGGGATCTAACTGGGATCTGCCACATGCAAGGCAAGCAACCTACCCACTGGACTATCACCCAAACTCCAAGAGTTTATTTTTTAATTTTCAAGTCTATTCAATTCATTTATGTGTCTTCTTTTTATGTTAGTACAACAATATTCAGTTGTTGTAAGTTTTAAAGTTAGGGTATTTGAGTCCTCCAACTTTATACTTCCTTTCTGTGTTATTTGGACTATTCTAGATCTTTTGCATTTTCATATGAACTTTAGGATCAGTTTTTCTGTTTTTTGAATAAGGGCAAATGGTATTGATTTTTGTAACAATTTTATTAAGTATATGGATCTATTTGGGGAAATATAGCTAATTTTACACTATCCAATCTTCAGTTCATAAACATAGTCTATCTTTGTGCAGGTGTATAATTCTTCTTTCAACAGTGTTTTATGTAAGTTTTCAATATATTCAAATTTATTCCTAAATGTTTCTCTCTCTCTCCCTCCCTCCCTCCCTTCCTCTCTCCCTCCCTCTCTCCCTCCCTTCCTCTCTCTTTTCCTGCCTTCCTGCCTGCCTGCCTTTCTCTCTCTCTCTATTTCTCTCTCTCATTCTTAATTCCTTTCTTTCCTGGCAATGATCAGGGGTTATTCTGGCTCTAAAATCAGAATTTACTTCTGGCGATGGTTGGGGGACCAAATTGGGTGCTGGGGAAAGAACCTGGGTTGGCCACGTGCAAGGCAAGCACCTTACATGGTACTATTGCTCTACCCCCATTATTTTACTTTTTAATGTTGCTGTAAATGAGATTGCTTTCTTAATTTTATTCTCAGTCTTCATTGCCAATACGTAGGATTAACATTTATCTTATTATAAATGTCACTGTCACTGTCCTCTGGTTGTTCATCGATTTGCTCAAGTGGGCCCAGTAACATCTCCATTGTGACAATTGTTACAAATTGTTATTTGTTATATCAAATACGTCACAGGTAGCTTGCCAGGCTTTGCCATGCAGGCGAGATACTCTCGGTAGCTTGCCGGGCTCTCAGAGAGGGGCGGAGGAATCGAACTCAGGTTGGCCATGTTGGCTGCGTGCAAGGCAAACACCCTACCTGCTGTGCTATCGCTCCAGCCCATTATAAATGTAATTTTTATATTGTCCTGCAGCCTTCCTGACCTACTTTATTAGTTCCAATAAATTTTTCTATGGGTTCATTAGAATTCTCTCTACATAAGTTCACATTATTTGCAAATTAAGGCTCTTTTTCTTCCCTCTTTACACTCAGAACACCTTTATTTATTTATTTATTTGCCTAATAACCTTGACTAGAACCTCCTAAACAATATTTAAGTAATGTATGTTGCTATTTTTATTAACATTCATCATATTGGAGTCTGGTGGTTTCATGAAATTATTTGCATCACTAAAGAATAGTGGGGTTGTTTTATTCTAAAATATATGTACCTTTAACTGAAAAATACTTAACAGTTTCTCTTTTACCATTTCAGGTTTTCTCAAATAATGATGAAGGCCTTATTAACAAAAAGTTACCAAAAGAGCTTCTCTTAAGGTAAGTGTAGATAAGCTGAAGATCATTCGGATTCAGTCATCAAGTTCCAAGTCTATCTTCTTTCTCGCTATGAGTCCAGAGCATAGACAGACAAACAGAATTAGCCTAACTGACTTTTTGTTTTTGTTTTATAGAATGCTGTTCAGCTTGTTGTTAAATTTTACTTGGTCTAATCCAGAATGTACTAAGTATGTACATAGCATTGGTCTGGATTCTTTTTGTAATGTGGTAAGTATTGTAATAATCTTCAGTAGGTGCCAATGTTTTGGTATCAGTAGATAATCTCAATGTCATCAGTAACAATGAAGAGAGGTTATTGTTAAGGTTGTGAGCTCCTGAAGTCATAAACGTTTAGATGTTTTTTTAATAAGTCAGGTTTAAAATAAAATAAAAATTAAAATTAAGCAGATCATGAAATGAAAACATAAGTTCTTCAGAGAACCTAACATTTATATGTGTATTCAGGGATGCAACTCAGTGGTAGAGCACATGTCTTATGCATGAGACCCTGAATTTGTCCCCTAGCCATAACTCACAGACAAATATCAAAATTAATCTAACTGCAGTCCCAAATATCAGCTCAAATATCACTGTTTTTAATCCATATCATTAGAATTATGTGCTAAGTGACAGTGAATTCTATAAAGCATATCTTTTATTATGCTTCTTACTTTACCAAATAAAGCTGTGAACCAACATTTGTTGAACTTAAGGCACTGTGGTTTTGTTTAGTGCTTTTCAATCATCAAATATTTTAATTATTTACTAATAATTTATATAAACATGCTAATACTTAAATGGATTTCCCAAAATCTTTCTCATCTCTCTGGTGTTCCATGAAATATATTTTGTTATCAATTAAGTATGGAAATCACTGGGTTAATAAAAACCAATTTCTTTACTGTGTAACTTCTCAAGCTAATATTCATGGTGATGCTACTCGATGGGCAGTTGTGGCAATTCAAACTTATTGACCATAGAGCTCATTTAACATTTTATGGAAATATTTTGAGAACTATGACGTACAATAAGACATTGACCAAATGACTCCATTCTCTGGCAGTCCAAAATCTCATTTTATCATCAGGGGAATAAATCTGAACTTGTTTTGTTTATCTATTGAAATTCACCACAGTCACTCTACAAATGCAACAGACTAGGCTGCCTCAGTCTGTCATATTCTCTTTTTTATGGGTCAGAAATGGAGCCTGGATTTAGTTTCTTTGCTGTGTTTATGTTTCAGGGGCTTCCAAGGGTGTTTCATTGGTTATCATGTGATGTTTGGCACTAATGTCGTGAGTTCATTTTACTCTATAAATTTGAAAAAATTTGACTCATGACAGGATCACATGAAAATGCATAGCAGTTTAATTTTTATTTCAACATTAAGTGCTTACTATTATTAATAAATTTAAATAAATAATTCTATATTACACTGAACATTAAATATTCAATAGTACATAAAATACTTATTTGCATAAGATGATGTTCCTTGGTATTTTAGACCAACGTCTTTAAATCTCTGGTACACAGACTGGTGCCGGTCTTCAGATGTATAAGGTGGAAAAGCCAGTGCTGGAGTGATAGTAGGGCATTTGCTTTGGGTAGCATAGGGCATCTGCTTTGAATATAGATAGGATAGAGCATTTACTTTGGATGTGGCCGACCCAAGTCCAATCCCTGGCACCCCATATGGTCCCCTAAGCCCACCAGGAGCAAGCTCTGAACACTGCCAGTGTGGCCCAAAAACAAAAACAAAAAGGTTGAAAACTTATGGTTTATAAAGAGATAACCAAGGAAGGACTTTATAATATATAAACCCACAAAGTCTTTGTATCAAGTAAAGGAAGTTGGTAGAGCAAGTGACTGACCAGTGTGACAAGCTCTCACTCTATGACTTTAAAGGATGCCATCCACAGACTGCAAAGTGGACGGGGTCCCTGACTGTTGCACAATGTTTTATTCTTAGTCTGAACATTTTTCTAGCACTGGCAACAAACTACTATGAACATGTCATTCATACTCTGGGGAATCGCAAGTAGCTTCAGGAGCCCCATATTAGTCATTCTATACACAGAGAAATTAAACAACACCCTTCTGAAGAATACTGCTGCTGCTTGTGACTCCAAGTTCATTTAATACTTTAACCTTTCTGGCAGATTTAGCATTTCCATCATATTGCTTAGTCAAGAAAGAATTTTTATCAGTTGACCAAAACAAAATACGATTTCCTGTAGCAATATGATTTTCAAACTCCTGTCTTAGAAATGATCATCTCTTAGGATGCTCTTAAGAGTCGTGGATGTAGTCATCACTAATTATAGTTTTTAAATTATTCCTCAAGACGCATAAATCATTTTTCGGAAAGAGTTGTATTTGATAGCAAATGTTTTTAACATGGTTCTTGATAGGTTTGTGCACCCAATTCTATTCTTATTTTGGAATGTGTAAGGGGGATTTAAAGTTTAAAGTGCTGCCATTACAGGTCTTCTATGACTCATGAGATTCAAAATTAACTCTTGCCAACTATGTCATTTTAATTTTTGGTAGCCTTTAAATTATGTCTGCCAGTTTACTCTTTCTATTCTCAGTCATAGTAATTCTCTCCTTTCCTAACTACCCTTTATAAACAAACCTTGAAGGGTTAGACCAGGTTACAAGAGCATTCAACTTCATCATCAGTTAATTCTACAGCTGAGTGAGTGAGAGCATTAAAGTCCCCGCCTCGAGGGGCTGAAGTGTTCTGATGACTTCGTCTCAGTTAAATATCTTCATCCTTTTGGCCTAATCTTGGCTCACTTTTTCACTTCCTATTACAGACTTCTTTCTGACAATGCAGATGGTTCTGTTCTTGTTCATTTTTCAGTCTTCATCAGTAGATGTGAATTCATTTGAGGTTATGATATTCCTTTTGTTTGCAGCCAAGGTCTTTTTTCCCTGTTATCTATCACCACTCTTAAATTTTCTACTGGATTCTACTACTGATCACAATAGTGAAATCCCAGCTTCTTCTTTGGAACCATTAAGAATTGGAACCTGAAATTAGATGTTTCTTTTTTTTTTTTTTTTTTTTTCCCCCTTTATTTTATTTTATTTTTTTTTAAAGTTGTAGATTTACAATTTTTTGTGCTTTGGTTTCAATTATACAATGATCAGATACCCATCCCTCCACCAGTGCCCATTTTCCACCACCATGGATAATATCCCTCCCACCCCCATCCCCCCATCCCCCCGTCTCTGTGGCAGGGCAATCCCCTGTGTTCTCTCTCTCCTTTTGGGTGTTGTGGTCTGCAAAAGAGGTAGATGTTTCTTTTTATCTCTTTATTTCACTATGAGTCCACTCAGAAAAGTCTGTGAGGTTTTCTTCCTTCCATCTGATTATTTGATTACTAGTTTTAAGACTAACAATATTATCAGTTCACAGATATACCGTATGCCATCAATTTTCAGTTTGTTATTTAACAGATTTTTACAATCTTGCTTTCCTGCACAGTTTCACTTGTATGTTACGGGTATTCACATATTTTACTGTTCACTCACACAACTCAACAAATGACTTTTTGTTGATTAAACAATTTTACTCTGGAGAGTAAATTTTATGATGTGTATAACAATGGAAATATTTCAATTTTAGAATCTTTGTATCTGTTAGTGAGCTGAGCTGTCCTTATATATAATTGTCCTCATTGTTACTGTTTATATTACTTTTGGAGTCAGATTTGGGATTGGCATTTTAGCTCTCCCCATTTATTATTTGTATGACCTTAAAGTTGCTTAAGACTCTGGTTAATAATTTCCCCATCAGTATAATAGGAATAGATATAGTTCTTACCTTGTGGAGTTCTTGATAGCTTTTAGAGTTCCTGGAACTTAATGAATACAAGTAAATATTTGCTTTTATTGTCACTAGTTAGCATCAACTTTGAATGTCTGAATAATAAATGATGTTTGGCAATGCAGTGAATTTTAATGGAAACAACTGATAAAAGCAAGCTCTTCTGATATGGATCTTAACTTATGCTCATGCTAATAATATTTCAGTAGAAGCCTGATTGTTAAGAGTGGGTAGCCTAATGCTTCATTTCATCAACCTGGACTAATTTAAGCTCAATGGAAATTGCATACTACCATCTGATAGTAAACTGACAATTATGAGCAGATTAGTGGTGGCATTGTGACAACTGACAGTCATTTTGTATTAGAAAAAAAAGCAGTCTTTCAGAAGAAATCATTCCTCAGGAGAGAAGTCTTATTGAATCTAGTATTGGCTAAGACCTAAAAAATTGGCCTAAATTTTAATATTAATTAGATCTTATGTTTTTATTTCAGTTAGGGCTGTGCTTTCATATGTTAATGATCAAATGAAAACACATGTAAGCTACTGAGATAGTGATGCGAGCAATCCAATCCATATTTTAAAACACTGAAAAGACAGTCTTGTTAGTAGTAAATAGAAATGAAAGGAACCTCATATTAGACACATTAAAAAGATCTAAACCATCATTACTTATATTTAGTTCCTTTTTGGATTTGTTTGGATTCATGACAAAATTAAGTGCTAATAGTGTTTGTTGGTTGATGAAGGAAGGTTTGATTGCCCCAAACAAGAAAGCTGAGCCTAATAATCCTGGGCAATATAAAATCAACTACACAATTACATATAATTTGACAATTTTAGTAGTTTACTAGGGGAAATTATAAAATGACTAGCTCATACGTTTTCATATTTTCTTTTTCGAAAACTTCTAAGCCAATTCCATGAGTAAAAATAATTGTGTTTGTGTTGCAATTATTAAGTTACAGACCAATGTTTGTGTGTAATCATGGGACTTTGGGGAGCACAGTGAAAGGCTCATTCCTGTTTGGGGCATCATTGAGTGGGTGTTCTGCCTGCTGGTTGGTTTCAGCACTCCATGGACTTTTTCAAGGACGGGTGCCTTCACCTCCTGCTGTCTCTGATGCCTTAAATATATTCATTCCAAGGCAGCCTAACAGGTAAG